TAAGACTTGTGCTCTACCCTAGCTCGCCCCACCCTTCTTTCTAGAAATGTCACAACTTCACGAACAGTTACACAAAAAAGTCACCCGACTTAGTCTGAAAGTCAAGCGCAAAAGTTTTCATAAAAATGTCCATTTGCAAATTAACACCCACAGAATTGTATTTTATCCAGTAAACAGCGTATGTCTGAACATCCAATTCAGGTCGAGGAAATGATTAGCCTCATTATGGAAGCGTTTGTTGATCTTCTCGTGTCGGAGGATTGGCTCACCGAGGAAACAAAAGAATTTGCTAAGCAGAAGGTTTGTCTTCAAAAGGAATGATATTTATGGAGTAGTAAAGCATTGTATTTTAGTAACTGCCAGCAAGTTAATGTGTAAATTTATTATCCAGCATTTAGGTCCGCACCATGAAACAGAAAATTGGCTATCCGGATTATCTTAATGATCCCGTTGCGGTTGATCGTGAGTACCGCTTGTTTGAGGTAGGACTTTTGTTACATTAAAAAAAATCACTTTTTTAAAATTTGATGTATCCTCCTTAATTTAGGTTTACGATCACCGTTATTATAAGACAAAGTTTCAATTCTACGAACAATATCAGCGCGATGTTTTGGAACGAATAGCACAGCCAGTGGATCGTGAAAGGTAAACACGCTCCTGTACCGTAGCTCGTCTCTCACTTTCTTCCTTTTCTTTCACAATCCTGTTGTACTACTTTCAAGGGTTTCCTCCAAATTCTTGATGCAAGTACATGTTTTATAAAGAATTCCCTCTAACTCACGATTTGCACGGGAAAGATCCGCTGATGTGGATTCTGACACCTTCAAAAGCTCAACACTTTTTTTTTGCGTGAGCAAGCTTGCAGTCTCGCATAACATGCACTAATTGATGAGCGCTTCGGAGTTTTTGGACTGAGTAAAGTCAACATTTTTGAGAGAATTATCGATCTGCAAAAAGTGGTGTTACAGCAAAAAGAGACTTGTGAAATGTTACAGTAAGCAGTTACAGAACTGCTTACTTCAACTCCGTGCTCTTATTTTACTTCTAATCTCTCTTGGTAAATGATTAATTAGTTTGCTTAAATAGATAAAAAGCATTGAAGTTTCAGTTATAGCGTTTGAGAAACTACGAATAGCTTAATAAATAAATTGTACTCCTCCCAACTATTGTTCCATTTTGAAAAAGTATATAGCTGGAAGGAGTACAGTTTATCTACTGAGCTCAAATAAAAAAACTTTTGATTATGTTAATCTGACAAGGGAAGGACCCGAAGTCGAAATCGGCTTTTTAC